TCACCCACACCAGCGAAGTTCTCTCCGATCAAAAGGTATACAAACACATTCTCTCAATCTCTGGTTATATGTCAATTTCCCCTTTTCGTTTCAATCTCAGCAAATGAGATCGTTATATATATCTTTCGATCAACTCCATTTTTATTCCCAATTCATTCGCATATGTCCCAAATCTCTTGCTCCACGAATAACCATAACTCTCTGTTTGATTACCTAGAAACGTACGGGAAAGATAAATATAGTCTCTCTGTTTTTTTTTTTTTCTTTTTTGGGTTGCTTTTCTCAGGATTATCCTTGTGTTTTATAATGCATCGGTTTGATTTGGAAATGTTTGTAAGCACTTGACATCTTGAAAACCCGAAGGCTTCTTGTAGTTTCATGAATGTTTGTCTTTGATACAATGTTGATTAGTATCAACGGGTAGAAATTTGAATGCTAAGAATGCGATATGTCTGAATTCAATTCAACATGTTACAGATTATTTTAGTAGTAATTTATTGCCATTGGTTCTTATTGTGTCAGTTAATCAAGAGGGAAGTGTTTGTTTTGATTGGTTACCGTGGCTACATTAGAAATTTGAAGATCAAGACAGCAACTTGCAAACGTATTGTTAAGGAGCTGCACTCTTATGAGAAAGAGGTTGAGAGGGAAGCTGTGAAAACAGCCGACATGAAAGAGAAAGGAGCTGACCCTTATGACCTCAAACAACAGGTAATGCTTCAAAAGCATTGAGTTTGCATGATTTATGAATTTTATTGAGGGTTGTTTTGGGCAGTAAAATTTCTTCTTCTTCTTCTTTTTTTTTAGTCAAAATCACACTTGAAATTCTCATTGCTGTCTAATATGTAAATTTTCATTGAGCAGCGAAATGTATACAATCTATACTTATTTTTACATTTTGCAGCTTAAATATTGCCTTGATTTGTTGAATTTTGCAAATACATGCAGCTTAATTTTGTAGATCAAATTTCCATAGGCAGTCCCATTATTTTTCTTTGATAACAGCTTTTAGCTTTTAGCTTCCACTTTGCAAATGTTTTTTTATCAAGGTAAACAAACTTGATATACAAACATCTATGGAGAATGACAGCTATTTGGGTGGATCTGTTAGAATCATAATCACATTAAAGGCCCATTGATAAATAGCACATCCTCTTCTGATGCTTTGTTTTCTTGAAGGTGTAAAAGCTCAAAATATCTGTGCAAGTCTTTCATAAGAACAGTAGGCACTTCTTGAGTTGGAAATTTTTTGGCTTTGGCAGAAATGGTTAGGTTGTTTATTTGTAATGGTTTTCAAGTGATTTGGCCAATGAATTTTTGAAAATTTCAAGAACATGATAGTAAAAGAAAAGATTATTCAAACAAAAGTAGTTAGCTTGTTTTCTAGTCAATAGAAAAATATTACTGAAAGGAGTATTCGAAAATGGCAAGTTTGTCAGTGGTAGCTCTAGCAATTGCCTGTTCATTTCTTCTGAACCCTTGTGGGTTCCTCATCAGACATTTTGGTTTTCTCATGTATTTTATAATCATATTGATCTACACTTTTTTGTCAAATTGGGATTATGAAAAAGGTATTAAGTGTCTCACAGGAAGTAACAGAAAGATGATGGAAGAAAATGATTGTGAAACCTGCATGTGAAATTTGATTGTCATGGGTCATGCTATAATTATTGTCGATTTGTGATGAGTGAGATCATGAGAAATCAGAAATACGCACTACCCATATAAGAGATCATTTTGAAAGTAAAATATGTCTAGAGATGAAGATTTTGTTTTCCGAAACAGATCAATGCTCTAGATTAAGGACACATAATGTGGCATGGTACCTACAAGCACTTTATTCCTTTGTGTATGTGAATTGAATACCTTATTTATAAAAATTACCTGAAAAATCAAAATACTATGGGCATGCTGCATGAGCTTAAGTTTTGGGCATGGTGTTTATAGAGGTTCGTTTTTCATTTTGTCAAATCATGAAGCAAAGAAGGTGGTTATGAAGTTTCTTATAATTTGGAAGTTGTGAGTGATGCTAGATTGTCTTCAAACAGTTTCCAAATCACTGCTTTAATGTGATTCTTTTGCAATACATTATTCACAATCCAAGTCAGAGAATCTAAAAAAATTTTGTATTTTTAAGGTGACAGTGATGTAGGTAATATATTTTACCCTTTTCTTTTAAAATCTTTTAAAGTGATTGAGGCCTTTCATTTATCTGGTTGTACAGGAAAATGTGCTAGCTGAATCAAGGATGATGATTCCTGATTGCCGTAAGCACTTAGAGGCATCATTGGCTGGTCTTAAAGGAACCTTGGTATTTGACATTACCTTAGTGTTATGCTTGTATGTTTTACATTCTCAATAAATTTAGTGCACTTTCTGAGTTGACTGGTAATGAAGAGCCTTAATCTTGTCATAGTTTAGGTAACAAATTAGGTGATCAGAATTGATTGCTTCAGATGTCAAATTTTGGGGGTGTACTGAAATTGATCAATTGATTTTTCATCTTGATTTCATTGGTGAAATATGTTCAGTAATTTGATGTTGTTGGGGTCTGTCCCAACTCTTTCATTAAACTGTGGTATTTTTGACATGGAATACAACTTCCTGTAGGTTGTGAGAGATTCATGGGTGGGTTTTATTTTTATTCCTCTTCTACATTTCAGAAGGTATTGGAATCTTAGCAGTAGGTAGCTTACATTATCAAAACAGAGGGCTATCATAGAAAATGCTGGAAGAAAAATATTTATGTAACAAAATGGATGGTAAACATGATTTGAGAAGATAGTTCATGATATCTTTCGATTCAAGATGAATGTGTTAGTGCTTGTGTCATTGCATCATGTATCCCAAATGGTAAGAGTTATAATCTCTAACTGCCTTCCTGGGCCCCTTTTGTTTTCGTTGAAGACCTATACCCTTATGATCAACTAATCCAGTGAATTCACCAACTGTTTATATTTCTAATTTCAGGCTGAGTTAGAGGAAGCAAGTGAGAAAGAAGGTCCGGAATTGAAAGATGCTGGAGCCACAATTTCAGGGGTTGAAAAGTTGTTTCAGACAACAGAGGCTTAGCAATATAGCTCAAATATTATGAATGTAACTACTGACTTCAAACATGTGACTTAGATTGCCATGAATTTGTACCATTTTGTTCC